CGTGCGTGCGTGCGTGCGTGCGTGCGTGCGTGCGTGCGTGTGTGTGTGTGTGTGTGTGTGCGCGCGCGCGCGTGCGTGCCTGCGTACATGAGCACGAGCGCGGGAATGCGTGCGTAGATGTGTGTTGCAATGATGTCCTGGCGACTCGCATATTGACACCCTGCAGGACGAAAACACAATTCAGAAAAAACAAACATGACGTTGAACCAGATATCCCACACGCCGCTTGGATCTTTTCATTCGGAAGTCGTGTTCAGCCGTTATCAGTAGGCTGGGCATCTTCGTGACGTCACCACCCCTATACCGAGTCGTTATCTTTAGGGGGTTGTTCCGGGTTGTCTTCCTGCTGGCTAATCATGATCTGTAAGCATTACATGTGTAATATGTAAGAGTACGTGTAATAAGTATCAGTTAGTGGGGAGATCGTGTGTCGTAGGGAATTCCTGCTGCGCGGTGTACGCAGCGAGGGAAACGGTGCCCTTCCTCACTTTATCGGGCGATGACGAAACGTTTGTTACTCGATCTGTGAGATTACGCCGGAATTTGTCGCTGCACGGGCACTGATCTCTATAATATAATCTTATCATATTATAATCTATAATCTGATTATATTATAGAGATCAGTGCTTGCACGGCCCTGAAATGCTAACGCGGCGCCATCTATTGACTGTCAACATTGCAACAAAAGCTATTTAGCACTGCGTTTAGTTTAATTGCGATGAAATTGCGAATCGGAACATGTTACAACAGGTCGTAGCCAGTCTTGGGAGGGCAAAGAGACAACGGCCACATAGAGTTAGAAAAAAAATGCCTACAATGTGTGAAGAACCCTAAAAAAATTAAAAAAGTTGTTGTCTTAGTCTAATCTTTTCCTGCCAAATATTTGCCAACGCAACAATTTTGTCGTGGAGAGCACATACTCGTATACTATGTGGAGAGCACATACTCGTGATATGAAAAATATTAACTATCGAAGTGTCTCACTTTATCAATAAGAAAGCGCAGTAAGAAGACTTACTAACTTTTACAATACTGTAGCACGGTGTCACTGTTTGCCACATGAAATATTATTTAGTTCACATTTATACTTATAGAGTACATATACTCACGAATACTTTTAGGCATACTTTTATACGAACGTGCTCGTCACCATAGGCTCGTCACCTTCACGCATCTCCGTATACTCTATGATATGTAATTAGACATGTGTTCGCGCATGCCTACAGCCTAGTTTCCCCGGTCAAAATGTAAAAAAATATTAATCTAATGAAAAATATAACGAATTTTTTCCTTCAGCGTAATCGTATTCTCCATGTGGATTATTTGTCTAAACCATGTAAAAGCACCTAGCTGTTTACTTCGTTATTCGGTGCTTTAAATTTTTTCCTTTTGCACTTTATTTGTTGTTTATTACACCCTTATTTTGAAGCGTCAATTTTGAAGTTTTAAAATTTTTCGTGTTGGCGTAGTCCGTAGCATCATAGGTAGCATCTATGTATTTACGCTCGCAATACTGTACAGTAAGTAACACCTGGGAATAACTTTATCGATTTTTTCCCCATTATTATTGATGCTTTATTAATGTGATTTACATGTTACTTTTGTATTTTTTGCCGTACTATCGATAATAAAAGCGTTTGAATACAAAGATTAGAAATTTGTTTCTTTGTGGAACGAAGTAAAAGTGTGTTCATTGAACATTGAAACTCATGTCACATTCCGCTTTGTTATTAATTATTTTGACGAATTCCAAGATATATTTATTTTGTAAAGGAAAATTGCAATTTAATCATCGTGGACAAAAATATACGTAGACAATATATTACTTCACGACTATAAGACATGCATGAACTTTCAACACCGTATATTCGTAACTACCGTTAAGTTGAAAAGACACGTGGGCCAAAGAATAAATTATGAATAATCACACAATATATATATATATACTCGCACGCACACGCACACGCATACGCAACATAACACACGTTGTATAATACTGTAACGCTTCAAAATGAATAATAAAACGTTAAGCTGAAAAAACGTTAAATAAATATAGAAACGAAAAACAGCAAAGTGAGCACATGTCGAATAAAATATATAATTGGTTATATCAGGGGTAAACAATCTCAAAGAGGTTATTTACTCATGGTTCTATAATACGATTTATTTGTATTTCGAGTGTTAACTCTGTTTTTACAATACAATGTGAACTGGTAACGTTAACCAGTAACCGCTAACCGGTAACCGGAGATCGTTCCCAGGACCACAATGTAAATAAGTGTGCTAGTCATGCTTTTTGTGCATATATCCTTGGTAGTTATCCAATTTTATGAATTCAGAATTTTATTGTAAAAGTATGCTATGTATTGTATATGATGGATAATTGCCTAAATAAATAAATAAATAAACAATTAAAAAAAACGATACAGACACGTCATATGAATACGGTTGACGTTACGACACGTATGTATCAATCATTCCTGCGTGACTATATTATGCAGGATAAATGTATACAGTAATACAGAATACGAATCATTAGTATAACAATATATAGCCAACACTATGTTCATATACAATTTTACACATTTGCAATATTACCATCGCCCATTTGACAGTAATATTCATTGGACGGACCAGACACGCTCTCTCTCTACCCACAATAAACATCTGTGATTAATAAAACGAAGTGTTTCCTTTAAAGATAAGTCTTTATCGTTACTCTGGTCATAGCTATACACGTGCTGCTGTGCCTACGACCACCAGTGGTCCCTGTATAGATTGATCCACCGCACCCACAGCGTAAACAAATAAATGTGCAGGAATAAATAACGTCAACGCCAACTCGCAACGTGCGCTGCAACCCTCAAGACACGCACGCCTTCGTAGCACCTCTGTCTCTCTCACCAGCCAACCCCGTCCATCTGCTCTGCGCTATCACCCAACCCACTCCAGCTGCTCCACTCACGCCATACACTCGCTATCACTGCGTCGACGTCGACGCCTCCTGTCTGTCCATATCCGCGGTCCTCTCCGTGACGTCACTCCCGACGGATGACAACTCGTCCCCGCTGGCGCCATCTTCCTCCGACAGAGTGTCTTCGCTGTCGAGGATGTTGAGAGTCTTGCTGAGCAGGTGGTCGTTGGTGCCGAGCGCGTGCGGAAGCTGCTCCAGCACTTCGCACAGCTTCGCTCCCATCTCCTCCAGCTCCCGCACGCCCACGTGGTAGCCCTGCGCAGAGAGAGAGAGAGAGAGAGAGACGGGGGGTGTTGAAAATGATCTGCGAGATCGCTTTGTGCCGGGAATGCTTGGGCTTTCAGGATTGCATGCAGGAGTCATGCTAATCTGTGTTAGGGTTTTTTTCGAATGTTTTGTTACATGTAGGTTACAGCCAACGATCACATACCTAGTAGAGACAGTGATCGCATACCTAGTAAAGGCAGTTATCACATACCTGGTAAAGTCCTTGGTCACATCCACAGTAGGTGCTCTCCATCGTGTAACTGCGTGAGATGCCCATCTCTCGCCACATGACGACGCGAGCTGTCGTCTCCTTGTTGTCCTCAATGCTGAAGCTGCAGTCCCCGAGATTAAACGACGGCGCCCTCTGGTGTAGAAGCACGGGCAGCGACTGAGGAGAAGAGATAAGGTTATTTTCATATAACTTAAGCTTGTGTCAATTGAGACACAATAAAACGTGTATTGGTCTATAAGCATAAAATTGCATTATCATGAACATTATACACTTCTTGCATGGTTGGGAGGAATAACAATGATTTGTCAAGATTCACTAAACTCCATGTTGCTCGAACCAACCGGGCAATATTTGTTATTTATATATAAAATCAGGAGCAAATAATGTTATTACTAGGGCCACCAAGAGAACAAGTACAATTTCGTTTTTCCTATACATTATCACATTCCAGAATGATAGACTAGAATCTGCCTCATTCTGACATTCAGTGCACAGTAACACAAAATTCTCATACATACATGTACACACGCACGCACGCACGCACGCACGCACGCACGCACGCACGCACGCACGCACGCACGCACGCACGCACACACTCGTGCGCACGTGGGCATGCACACTCCCATGCACATTCATGATAATGTGAATTCTACGCTATAAAACAATTTCCTGGTGTTGAAATCAATGACACAGCTGTGTATAACAAGTGCCGCAGAGCAACAGCGCTCAACTGACGTGTACTGTAGCCGGATATTCTTCTGATAAACTCACCGGCAACCGAATCAAGTGCGCCCTCCCGCCACCGCGTTCGCGGTCAGAGCATATATCTAGGATACTACTAATACAGATCTAAAATCTATGATAGCTAGGCTTTGCTATACCGGTAGTACAGTAATAAAGATACAGCTGTGTAACTTTAATGACTTCGCTATATTAACATGTTATCATGGATATGCGTCGAGCGCAAGCGTAGTGGTGGTGGTGGGGAAGGTGGGGAAGATGGGGGGAGGGTTGGATGTAGGGACAGGTGGAGGAGGCTCTAATAGCAAAAGCAGTTCAGTCCTTTGTTATCAGTCAACAAATCCATGTTTAACCCTCCTCTTGAGGGTCAAAAGGTTATCAGACACTTACTCTTCGCACGTCAGCAAAAAGTAAATTTCATGGTCCTTTCAATAAAGTGATAAAAATGGTAGGTCAGCGCTGAAACAAAAAAGTTTTGCACTCGGTCCGTTAGACCATGTCCTCAGAAAATGTCTAATATCTGACCTTTCCCCCACTGCCCGTTGACCTGTGACCTCCAATTTCGCGCTGGTGATGGGTTTCCTCCCCATCACACTATACATCAAATATTAAGAGCGTAGGTCGAGCAGGTTGAGATTGTGCCGCAATTCCATATTTCCTCCTATACCTTAAGTTAAGGGGGAAATATTCCCCCTCCATTGACACATCTTGACCTTTGACCCTTGACCCCCCAAATTCGACATCCCGAGTCCTTTTCGCGATCCCTCCAATGTGCCAAATATCAAGACCGTACGTCGAGCGGTAAAGATTTGTGCCATAACTGTTGACAAACGCACGGACATTCATGCCATTCTACAAGCTGCATCTGACTTCGTCAGCATGAGCTAATAATAGGGCAAGACTATACCAAGTATAATGCTTTACTCCTAATACGACAGTAGTGTGTCCCACATCAGAATACATCAGCTTAGACCACAGGTAGGGGGGCTGTGCGTACCAAGTAAGATTTGTCATCGGCGCAGTTTATCGCATCCTCGTCTCGCCACGAATCTCGCCCGCTGCATCCGAACAAGAAGACGTTCTTCTTGCGCGAGTGTCCGTGATAGTCGCAGAAGACGAGCGGAGGCTTGCCAGAGGCCACCATGAAGCGTGCGAGCTGCTTCGTGTGGTAGACGGTAGGGTGCAGCACCGGGCACGGGTTCGACCACTTTCTGTTCAAGTCTTCCCCGGTCAGCGAACATCTGTGACTGAGAGAGAGAAAAAGAAAACGGATCGATGTCAACGACACATAGAACGGGACTAGGTCGTCTTGCTCGTATCATCCGACCTTGCAATTTATGATCAAACAAAATGAATTACTCTGTTACCCTTACATCCAAAGTTTTTGGTTTCACTTTCGTGACAGCTTGCTCGATAATCTCACGCAATACCAAACGAGAAATGATTCCCTGTATTCATGCTTATCTGCACCGCTTTACCCTTGATAGTCATTAAGGTATCACAGTTCTATGTATATATAGCCAAGTATGGGTATATAGGAGGTACCACACATTAAAACTGAACACGTCCTACGTAAGAAGATTCGTACTTTCCGTTGATGACTCCGTCCGGATTGAGCATGGGAACTATTTTGAAGATGTACATTTGCCGGATAGGTGCCGCCTGAGGACTGAGCAGGTAATCGATCGTCCCCTTCATCATCCAGCTGGCGTTCGACTCCCCGGGATGTACCCGCCCACTCAGCATCACATACTTACGACTATCTGTATTAACAGCACGTGGTGTCAAACCTCCGGGCAAACTGCACACGGCACAGTCAAACACACGAACAGGAAAACTCATGTGACAATCAGTGTCAGAGTACAATATTATATATGCTCTAGGAATGCAATTCTCTACACATACTGTTTGTTACTCCTCCCCAGTCAAGAACCAGAAAATACAGACGACCACAGAAGCAGGATATAGCTTTATATAATGACTGTAGGCACATGTGAAATCTTGCGGGGCTAGCACAGTCATCACAGTAACATTGCAAACCGCACTATCGTAGTCGCAATAATGTGGCCGTCAAAGAAACAGTATAGACGCAGCACGCGTTTTTCACCACAACGACAGATATATCGTAGTAACGACGGAGCACTAATAACAAAACTGCATCTTACACACCAGCTGGACATATTTCTTGGCTCGATTCGGTGATGGTGACAACGTGGGTGTCGTTTCCCGCTAGAGTGCGGCACAGGACCTGCCTTCTGAAGTAAACGTCTGCACGACTGGCCACGGCCTCCCACTGCTGTAGATGAGTCTGTAACAACGCGGTACGTTAGCATTACAAGCAGCAGCGTCCCGCTCCTCCTGTCACAGTCACAAGCACTTGCCGGTTTGTGCGTGTGACTAGCAAGTGTCAAAATACTACGAAAAATGCGGCCGCAAATCAGGGTGTTAGCCAGGGGAAAAAAATCAGCGAGTCTCACCATCTGAGCGAAGCAAGGATGCTGCGGGCGCGAAGCACCCTAGAGGGAAGGCCTTACCTTAAAATGAAGGAAATTTGGTCTGAAATGCCTAAAACACAGGAATCTGATATGATTTTATATTCTTATAAGGACTGTTGTCAGTTATACAAGGTGTAAAATATATAAAATTGGGCCGCCCTCATGCCGTCTCTATCAAATTTCATCCGTCTCATGCAAGAATATGCCGTCCAAAAGATGGGTAGACGGGTCTCTGGCTAACACACTGCCGCAGAAGTTAATCCTCATACAGAACATCCTAACCCTAACCCTAACCCTAACACCCTATTCAGATCGTCCTAGTTTTCTATGAAAGAGTTCTCACGGCCTCTTGGCTAAATGGTCAATACATCATGACCAAAAAAAACACAAATAAATAAATAAATAAACCAGCCTCTTGTCTAAATGGACTACTCCTGTAGTACACACCTGCAGCAGACTGTAGGTGTAGGGGTAGTGGTAAGCAACGTAGCACACGTCGCCGGGATGCGGGAAGGTCAGCGTGAAGGTCGCCGTGTAGTGCAGCTTGGTTTGGCAACCGCTGCCGGACGTCGGCATGTGCGTGAAGTGGTTCTTGTAGTAGCAGATGTCGGTGCCCGCGCGCACCCAGCCTACCCTGCTCAGGGCCGCCTCCCTCACCGAGAACAGCACCGGTTGCATGCCTGTAAAACACACCACGTAAGCTGAATCTACTAGGGTAGGTTTACACCCCTAACAGTACATACACCACGCATCTACCCTAAAGGGCCAAAACTTGTAACTTGTAAGCTAAATCTACTAGGGTAGGTTATCACCCCATAACAGTACATACACCACGCATCTACCCTAAAGGGTCAAAACTTAATTGTAACTTCTAAGCTAAATCTACTAGGGTAGGTTAACACCCCTAACAGTACGTACACCATGCATCTATCCTGAAGCATTAAAACTTGTGGTGAATTTACAGCTTCATCTACTAGATAATTGTAGGGCATACTGTGTTCGTAAAACCATTAGGCCTAGCCTTACGTGCTTAAAGATACACTTAGGGTTGTAGGTGCGATTTTATCAAAATTTCAGTACCCATTTCATTTCATAGATGACGCCTCTGGGCAGGTATGTATGCATAGATTATTATGTATATGGTCTCCTAAACAGTTCAAAATTCCCACTTGCCTCTCTGGCTGTGCAAGCCTCGACTCACCTTTTAAATACACAACTCTTGGTGGAGTCATTAGTGCGCGCTATCTCAAAATGCGCTTCAAGCCCTCCCAACATGCACTGCATGCTATGACAACAGCAGCCATTTAAAAGTATTCGTACTTTTGATATTTCACTTGTTTCTTAAAGTTCGTGAATGTTCCATTCCAAGAACCACACTAAAACCTGAACAGCATATCCATGCAACTGTCTGTGACAGAAACGACCCAGTTCAATGCTCCATAATTGAGATTATACGTGTCATATATATATATATATATGTATATATAGCCAAGTATGGGTATATAGGAGGTACCACACATTAAAACTGAACAAGTACCAAAGTTGAACTGGCTGTTGCTCTTCTCACAGTTGACAATGTTGAACCTGTACGGTGCAGCTGCCTCCATCTGACTGACACTGAAGTAAAACCACTGCAGGTGCCTGTTACTGTTGATGTCTGATCCCAGCACCAAGTCATACTCGTACGGACGCACCTGCCGCAACATAATCCGATGCAATAAACAAACAGCTAGATTCTAGTATGCGGGATGAACTCCCTGCATAGGTGACCTTCCCTCAGTCCCCTGCCTATCGTGGGTTTTCCCAATTACAGAATACAATTAATTACGGTTACTTTTTGCATACAAATCAAATGTTGGACGCAAAACGAGCAAAGCTCATCTCGCCCCATATTGTAGGTGGAGACTATAACCAACATAGTCGTGTGGGACTATAACCAACACAGTTGGGTGGGATTATCACTAACGACTGACAAGTGAGGCCATAATAAAAATATTGTTTGTTTGCCCTCACCCGACCTACCCGCCAAAAACGGGCCGACTCAAACATTTTTATTGGTCTTTCCCATTCTTTTTTTTTTACAAATTGTATCACTGTACATTATATAAATCTGTAGGCAATACATTATATGTACCAAGCAAAACAAACATTCAACAGAAAAGGTATCTCCACACAAGCATACCCGAGTATGTAGACACCATATGCATGCTGAATTTGTAAAGACCCCCCTCAAAAAAAAAATTAAGCCTACCTACCTACCCAAACTTTTCAACTGGGTCAGGTGAGGCCAAATACAGATTTTTTTAATTGTGGCCTGAGGTAGGGACTATATCCAACACAGTCGATTCAGACAATCAACAACAGATAAGCATAGGCCAATAAGGCAATATAACAATTACGAGTATAAATTTGTTGACTATGATTGAACATTATTCTCGTGTGTATGACGATCGAGTGTATGATGTGTATTATGTATGGATCACAAAGTGTGAAATGAACTAACCTCGATTCTGATACGTGCATATTCTTAGTTACTGGACAGATCGGTACTGAACTACCAGTGTTGCTGCTATAAATTCTACTACATTACGATGCAGATTGCTACATCTGTAGAGTAAGACGTACCTGTATTGCCATTCTCAGGTTGCCACTCTCAAACTGTGAGTTGAACAGCAGATGGTCGGCTGATGGTGGATACTCGCCGTCTGTCCTGCAACACAGACAGCGCTCAGTGCTAGCGACTAATCGACTAAACTACCATAGTGCAAGACCATAGCACAGAACCCCCTAGTACAAAGCCACAGTACAAGACCGGCCATCTGCGTATTGTTACCATTTATAAAGCTTGATAAAGTTACATATAAAAGGTCACGACATCGCCTATGCATGTTGTGCATATATTTATGCACGTTTGCATTCTGTGCATATATAATTATGACAGGACTGTCACCTGAAGCCTGTGTTAGCTCTATCAATAAAATTGCAAGCAAAGTGGTGGGGGTTTATTGGTACTTTACCAATTTTAATATACCATTCATATAAACTCAACATAGTTCTAATATACCACTCGTATCAACTTTGCGTAGTTCTAATACACTACTCATATCAAGGAATTATATGGAGTATAGGTGAAGTCTTCTTCGACGTAATGTTGTTAGAAGCTACTGTTTGCTACTGAAAGGTTATCATACTGGAACTCGTCGGTGTTGGTTAGGGAGTTGCTCCTGCGGGCACTGGCTGTGTGTTCAGCCACGTCGTCCAGACTGTATACAAGCTTGTCCATGACAGATGCTGGGTGAACTGTCCTGCTGATGTCCTCTAAAAGCTTACGCCTGCAAACAGGTATACAAGCAACACAAAGCTTAAGATCCCTCTTCCTCTCTCTTTTGATCTCTCTCGCTCCCCCTCTCTCTTTCTCTCTCTTTCTTTCTTTCTCTCTCTCTCTCTCTGTCGGTCTTTCTTTCTCTTTCTCTCTCTCTCTCTCTCTCTCTCTCTCCTCCTCCTCTTCTCTCTCTC